ACTGCTTTCAATGCTTTAATCATGCTTACATCTTCCCACTGACAATAATATTGGGGTCTTTCGATAACAAGCTTGGAAGGGTCAGCCTCTACTAACGAATAAGATACCAGTATTCTTCCTGATAGAGGTTTTTTTGACATGTCAACAAACTTCACCTAAATCAAAACAGATCTATGCTTGATAAATGAAGTGTAATACTTGCCTTATCGAGTGAAACCGAGAGTGAAACACAGTAATAACAGCTTATCAACCTCGTTATCAAGATTAAAACAACTGAGGTGAGACTCATGAGACCTGACACAGCAAACAACACGAGGCAGCAGCGTATTGGGTGGAGCATAAGTGGACGACAATTAGAGTTTCGCTTAAAATTCTGTTCGAGCTCGATGTACGTGAAGTTGAAGGGAAAAGGTTTGTGCCTCACAAAGAAGAAGGGCTACTAAGTAAGTAAGAGTGTTACTGCAACCTTGCAATTGCTGTATTTACCAATACTAATAAAATGTACTAAATTTGATTCTATCTGACGATATTTGACTATTGTCGGACGTCTAATACTTTTAAAAATAACTAGAACAAAACTAGCTTAATGCAGCTCATCTTTACTACGCAATCTCAATTAGCTTAGAGTTATATTGTGTGAAAATTTCAGAGCGGCAGCAAGTCTAAAAGACGAGATAGAGCTGTCCGGAATCTAATGTGTCCAGAAATTGCTTCCTTACTCTAGCTCCTGGTACCTCTGCCAAAAGAATATGCCAATCATTTTTAACTTGTAATAATTACTTTAAATTGTACTATGCTATTATCATTATTAAAGTGTAATATCATAAAGGGTTTTTAGTTTCTTAGGTATTCTTTCAGCAGCTGCACGGTCTCCTGTTCCCTCCACAGCGTCTATCAAAGTCTGCCATGTTCTACTAGTTACATTATCTTCTTCCTCTAGCCATGCTTCTATAGTCCTCCTCAAGTGTCTGTATGCATCATCACCTCCTTCTCCAATCACATTGAGTCTTGGCAGATTTGATGTCTATACTTCTTCAAATTCAAATATCTCACATATGGTAAGTAGTAGTGTTGTTTTAGTTAACTATAACTAAAACTAAAAGCACTTTTAGTTTGGTCTTTTGACTTTTAGTTAACTAACTATAACTAACTAAAATGAAAAAAGAATTTCCTAAAACTAACTGTAACTAACTAAAAATGAGGCTTTGCTTCCAAAAACTAACTAAAACTAACTATAAATAATTTGTAGAGTGAACTAACTAAAATAACTAAAATAACTAAAACTAAAACTAAAATAACTAAAATAACTAATAAAAACTAAAACTTAGACCCTATAACTATAACTAAATGTCTTCAAAAAGCCTTTTAGTTAACTAACTAAAACTAACTATATGAAAATGATTGCATCATGAAACTAATAAAAACTAATAAAAATTTTCCACACGTTGCTTAAAACTAACTATAACTAATAAAATCTGTTTTTTGATAACTAAAACATCACTAGTAAGTAGACAGGCATTAGGATCATCACTATTATGTATCTTGTCATTGAGTTTAAAAGCCACTTCACTGCTGATTCCAATCAAATTTAGATTTTTTTACAAATTTTTAAAGTTGCTCCAAAATTGGGCCAAAGTCCCTGTAGTACATGGTCTCAGGCCAAATTTTGCTAAAATTGAAAAATTTAAAGTTCACAATTTTTATTACATTTCCTGATACATATACATGTTCTTATGTTGCATAGAAAGTTTGACCTGATTTCGATCAAGTTTAGATTTTTTATGGATTTTTAAGTC